AAGGACAATAAAAGAAGAGGAATTAAGAAGACAGAAGATAACGATTGACATTGCATTGAAATTTTTGAAGATCAAAGTTGACTGGAAAGTAAGAAGAGTGAAAGAGAATTAGAAGACTTTAGTGAGGGGAAAGGACAATAAAAGAAGAGGAATTAAGAAGACAGAAGATAACAATTGACATTGCATTCAAATTTTTGAAGATCAAAGTTGACTGGAAAGTAAGAAGAATGAAAGAGAATTAGAAGACTTTAGTGAGGGGAAAGGACAATAAAAGAAGAGGAATTAAGAAGACAGAAGATAACGATTGACACTGCATTGAAATTTTTGAAGGTCAAAGTTGATTGGAAAGCCAGAGACTGGAAGCATTTTTCCACAAGCGAAATATGATAGAGAAGAAACTATTAGCATAGAACTTACGGTTTGAAGCAACCATTTCAGTTGTAAAATGATGAGACGTAACAGTACTGTGCTTAAATTCATAAAGTCTCGTTGCCAAAGGGGAAATCTCATTTGAACAAATTACCATGGAAATATTTATAGAAAAGGCAGAGAGAAGCTACATTATGACGGGGCAAGGGGGGTGTAGTTGACTGAAGCCGAGATGACAGTTAATAATGCAGAGTCTTCTTTGGATGTTCTCAAGTATTTATTGAGTAACAAATGTCAAAAATATTAATATGGTATTAGTTTAACGTAGGGGTCCAAAAATATTTAGATCATCGATCCCTTGATGGAATACTTGAGCTCTTATCAACTCCCTCGTATATACAAATAATAATGTCAATAATAATTATGTTGCGTCGTAAATAGGAAATGTTGAAACACATATAGAAAATAAGAAGTAGTTTATTCCGGAGAATAATATAGTACACGGTTGAGAACACAGACTAACGCAATAAACAGTTAATCGTTTGCTCAGAGAGTGCTGTTTATATAGTCTTAGACCAGTCAATCTTGTGGGGGTGTTCAGCTACTCCACAACACAAATATATAATGGCTGGCCGCTGGTATCCAAATATGGTACACAGTACACAAGGCGGGATGTGGAACAAGGCTGGTTTATAACGTAGAGTTTTCAGAGTAGAGCCCGCATAGACGGGGTTGACAGCTGTCTACCTCCCCAAACGAGGCTCTGCCTGCAGGCATAGACTCTTTTGGGTTCCTCTTCGCCCGAAGGCAGAGAGGTCGACTAGCAGAGCTTTAACGAAATCTAATCGTTAACTCATCGGTATTTACCCGAGACCTCCCTACAAGGCGGGATGTGGCACAAGGTCTGGGTTTTTATTTTTTACGTGGGGGTGTTTCGTGTCTGTAGACTTGGACAAAAAAAAATACACGAGGTCGAGTAGCTGTCTGGGTTCCCCTCTGCCCAGAGGCAGAGAGTTGAAAAGTAGAGTTAATAGTAACCGTTAACGACTCTCTCTCTCTTTCTCAGTAAGAGAGAGTGCTGTTTAAATACTCTCAGACCAGTCAGTCTTCTGGGGGTGTTCAGCTACTCCACAGATTAATTTTTCAAAAATTAAGTATAGAAACACCTTTAACTTTTTCATTCATTATTGTTTCTCGCTAAGATTAGAACTTCGATGGACGTCTAGTTTTCAGAGTAGATAGTTCAATTAGTATAATTTAGTTTATTATAAATAGAGCATTTACTTAAATATATTTTTTCTATAAAAAGAATGTATAAACATAGAAATTTCTTAAAATAATTGTCGGACTTTGTCCATTTCATAATGTGTGACGTCATTTGTTTACATTTGGATACGCTTTGAGCAGATATGAATGAACGAGAGAGATTCATGGAAGATTGTAGTTTAAAAACAGTAAAATCGACCTTGCTAATGGAACGATCTTGTGGCGCAATCGGTTGAGGCACGTCAGGCTATATGACGGTTCCGTATAGGATACAGGTTCGATTCCTTTCGGAGGACGAATATTTTCTATGAAAATTTCTCGGACATTGAGGCCGGTAAATGTTGTTAATACTGTTTATTATAAACAGAGCATTTACTTAAATATTTGTATCTATAAAAAAATGTACAAACTTAAAAATATCTTAAAATAACGAAGTTTGTAAACCTCTCTCTTGAGTGATTTGTAACATTATTTATCATCTCTAAGTTGCGTCTCTGTCTTTGGGCAGAGTGCACTCAGGGGCGACTCCGTCAATGGACAGAGTCGCAACTGAGGAAAATTATACTGAGAGGTGCCCAACCCTGGGGAACAGCTGCCCTAGGCCGCGCCCTCTCATTGCACCAGAGAGAGGGATCGATGCCAGCGGGCAATTTTTTGTTCCTGGCCCGGGTGTACGCGCTCGGGCTCCCCACCTTAAAAAAGACCTTGTGTCTCAACTCGTCGTAGTGGAGAGACAGAGTAAATACCTAGTATAACGAAGTATAGAACTTCCGTGATTATCTGGACTCCATGGGGCAAGGGTTGAATATTCAAATACTTTTCCTCCTCATCATCCTTTCTTCTTCTTCTTCTGAGTCTTCTTCTTTCTTCTTAGTCTTCTTCTTCGTCATTCTTCTTCTTCTTCTTTCTTCTTCGTCATTCTTCTTCTGAGTCTTCTTATTTCTTCTTCTTCTTCTTCTTAGTCTTCTTCTTCTTTTTCTGAGTCTTCTTCTTCTTCTTCTTCTTCTAAGTCTTCTTCTTCTTCTGAGTCTTCTTCTTCTGAGTCTTCTTCTTCTTCTTCTAAGTCTTCTTCTTCTGAGTCTTCTGAGTCTTCTTCTTCTTTTTCTGAGTCTTCTTCTTCTTCTTCTAAGTCTTCTTCTTCTTCTGAGTCTTCATCTTCTTCTTCTTCTTCTTCTTTCTTCTTCGTCATTCTTCTTCTGAGTCTTCTTATTTCTTCTTCTTCTTCTTCTTCTTAGTCTTCTTCTGAGTCTTCATCTTTCTTCTTCGTCATTCTTCTTCTGAGTCTTCTTCTTCTTCATCTTCTTCTTTCTTCGTCATTCTTCTTCTACTGAGTCTTCTTCTTCTTCTTTTTCTGAGTCTCCTTCTTCTTCTTCTTTCTTATTCGTCATTATTCTTCTGAGTCTTCTTTTTTTTATCTTTCTTTTTCTGCTTTTCTTGCAAAACCAAACGGTGATAGGGAATGGATGAAACCTAAACGTTACCGGCGAATTTAGTCAACAAGGCCATCATCATAATGGAGGCGATCAGCAAAAAAGAAATCCAATTCTTGGATAAAGCAGACGACGACGATATCCACCTTAGAACAAAGGCGGGACAGAATAACCGTAAGAAAAGAATAACATTCATTGTTCTCAAAGTGAATTTTTATTCCGATAGGAGATGTTTTAAGAGAAAGATTTTATAAATTTTAACAGAAAACGGTACCGGTTGCTTGGCCAATGAATGTCAAATGTTTCCTTGTAGGGAAACGGCTAATATTACCGTTAGCATTTTTCAGTTTCTATTTCTCTTCCGACATTACTTAAGAAGATTGGTCCCGTCAAAAGAAAATAAGGAAAATAATTTTGTATAAGAACATACATTCGACCTTCTGTAATCCACGACATTTGTCAGAACTGAAATTTTTTTTTTTATCATTTTAGAAGTAGGGGTCCTGTTCATATCGATACGGTTTAAAATAAATCCCTGGCTTTTTACAGCTGTTCTACGTACGAAAACATATTTTTGCGAATAATGATTTTCTTTTATATGCAGAACAAATAGATTTCTAAAAATTATATGAAAAAAAAGAAAAAAAATTAATGAAGATATCAATGATGCAAGTAAAGTTTCAAAATTGACATTTGTGAATAACATCTCATCCAATCGCTCTGTAAAAGGTCAGGGATCGATTTTAAACGGTATCGATATGAAAAAAGGACCCTCATTCTAAAGCGATAAAAAAAAATTATTTTTTTTTATTTCCATAAATCTCGTGGCTTGAGAAATTCCTAATGGATGACAATCGACAAAAATTAATCCTCGAAAAAATTCTTATTTTTTTTTACTGATGGAGCAGTTTATTTAATTAATACCCCCTTTCCTATAGTAGGCGTGTTTAGAAGGATGAGAAAGAAGAAGAAGAAAGACAGAGTAGAAGGAAGACGAAGAAGGAAAAAAAAGAAGAAAGAAGAAGAAAGACGAAGAATAAGTAGAAAAAAAAAAGAAGAAAGAAGGAGACGAAAAGAAAGAAGAGGAAAAAACAAAACTGAAAAAAAAAGAAAGAAGAAGAAAAAGAAGAAGAAGAAAGACGAAGAAGAAGGAAGACGAAGAAGGAAGAAAAAAGAAGAAAGAAGAAGACGAAGAATAAGTAGAAAAAAAGAAGAAAGAAGGAGACGAAAAGAAAGAAGAGGAAAAAACAAAACTGAAAAAAAAAGAAAGAAGAAAAAAAGAAGAAGAAAGACGAAGAAGAAGGAAGACGAAGAAGGAAGAAAAAAGAAGAAAGAAGAAGACGAAGAATAAGTAGAAAAAAGAAGAAAGAAGGAGACGAAAAGAAAGAAGAGGAAAAAACAAAACTGAAAGAAAAAGAAAGAAAGAAAGAAAGAAAGAAGAAGAAGAAAAAGAAGACGAAGAAGAAGAAGAAAAGGGGAAGAAAATAAGAAGAAATATCAGTAAAAAGACAAAGTAGAAGAAAAAGACGAAGAAGAAGAAGAAAGAAGAAGAAAGGGGAAAAACGGAGAAGAAAGAAAAGGAGAAAAAAGAAAGCAAAATGAATAAGAAGAAAACAGGAAGAGGAGGAGAAGAAGAAAAAGAAATATCAGAAGAAAGACGAAGAAGAAGTAGAATAAAAAACGAAGAAAAAAAGAGGAAAAGAGAAAGACGAAGAAGAAAGAAAAGGAGAAAAAAGAAAGAAAAATGAAGAAAAAAAGAAGGAAAAAATTAAATTTTAATCATAAATAAATAAGTATTCAAAATATGTTATCTGCATTTTTATTCTTTCTTCTAAAACGTTTTTATTTTTATTTTTTACTCTTCAGAATTTCTTTCTTCCAAAACGTTTTCTTTTCCGGTCACCTGTTAACCATTGTGCCACGGTGAGGTGACCAATGTGCGTCGTAACACTGTCTGTCTGTCTGTCTCGCTGTCTGTCTGTCTCAGATATTTAAACTGAGGATTTCCGTTTGGCCCGGATTTGTTCAACCTTGAATTTACCGCAGAACCTCGGCGTCAGTATAAATTCAACCAAGTTTTCTTTCTCGCTTTGCATTTTGCTTGACATCCCTGAATCCATCCCTCCACCGCACCCCCCCGGGCCAGGAAATCTGGGTGCCTCTCTGACCGGCACTTATCGCAGGTGTGACGCCACACTTGTCTTAGTCAGCTGCATACCGCGACACATCAAGGCGTTCAAGCAGATTCATTTGGCTTTTTTAGGCATTCGTAAATGTTTGATAAGAGGAAAGGGCCAGTTTGAAGAGGTTACGTCTTGTTATGTTCGAGACGTCCGGTCTGTGATTGTCAAATTACAAACGTGTCACTCGTCTGGAGAATTCCTTTGCCCTTTACCCAGCAATGACGCCCAAAAGGTCTTCTTCTTCTTCTTCTTCTTTCTTTTTTATCTTCTCATTTCATTTTCTTTCACCTTCTTCGCTATTCTTCTTTCTTCTTCTTTTTTTTCTTCTTTTTGTCTTATTCGTTTTTCTTCACTCTTCTTTTTCTTCTACTTTGTCTTTTTACTGATATTTCTTCTTATTTTCTTCCCCTTTTCTTCTTCTTCTTTTTTTTCTTCTTCTTTCTTTCTTTCTTTCTTTTTCTTTCAGTTTTGTTTTTTCCTCTTCTTTCCTTTCGTCTCCTTTCTTCTTTTTTTTCTACTTATTCTTCGTCTTTCTTCTTTTTTTCTTCCTTCTTCGTCTTCCTTCTTCTTCTTCTTCTTCTTCTTCTTTTTCTTCTTCTTTCTTTCAGTTTTGTTTTTTCCTCTTCTTTCTTTTCGTCTCCTTTCTTCTTTTTTTTCTACTTATTCTTCGTCTTTCTTCTTTCTTCTTTTTTCTTCCTTCTTCGTCTTCCTTCTTCTTCGTCTTTCTTCTTCTTCTTCTTGTCATCCTTTATTATTCTTCTTCCTTCTTTTACTTTTTTCTTCTTCTTCGTCATTCTTCTCCTTCATTTTTCATCTTCTTTCTTCATTTTTATTTTTCTTCTTCTTCATTCTTTTTCATCTTCAATCTTTTTACTTCTTCGTCTTTCATCTTATTTCTACTTCTGCTTTCATCTTCTTAATTTTCTCCTTTTTCTTTCATCGTCTTCGTCATTTTTCTTGCTTCTTCGTCGTTCTTCTTAATTTTCTCGTTCTTCTTCTTTCTTCTTCTCCGCCATTCTTCTTCAGTTTTCTTCCTTCTTCTTTTTCATGCTTCTTCTTCATATTTCCTCTCTTCTTTCATTTTCTTCGTCTTCTTCTTTTCCTTCTTTCTTCTTCTTTCAACTACTTTTCCTTCTTCATCATTCTACTTCTTTCTTCTTTTTCATTCTTTCTCTCTTCCTTTTTCTTCTTTCTTTTTCTCCTTCTAATCTTCGTTTTCTCCTTCTTCCTTCATCTTCTTCTCCTTCTTTCATCTTCTTCATACTTCTCCGTTCTACTTCTTCTTTAAACTTCTTCTTTCTCCTTCAGTCGTCTTTCTTTATTCTTCATCATTCTTCTTCTTTTTCTTTCTCCTGCTTCTTTCTTCGTCATTTTTCTTCTTTTTTTCATTTTTTTTCTTCTTCTTTTTTCGTTCATCTTTATCTTCATTCTTATCTGTCCTTCTTCATCTTTCATCTTTCTTTTTTGTGTTTTTTATTCTTCTTTTTCTTTCTTCTTCGTCTTTCTTCTTCTTTCTTTTTTTTCATTCGTCTTCATTCTTAGGCAGTTTTTTCCTCTACTTCTTCTGTCTTCATTTTTCTTTTTCTTCTTTGTAATTTTTCATTCTTCTTTCATCTTCTTCAGTTTTCTTCTTTCTTTCATCTTCTCATTTTAGCAATGATCAAATGTGGTCCTGCCGCCTTTCATAATCGTCTAATACCCATACGAGGGAGGGGGATAGAGAGAGGGAGAGAAAGAGAAAAGATTAAAACAGACAGGGGGAAGGGAGAGAGGGGGGGGCGAGGGAAAGACATAGGGCGAGAAAGTGATAGAGAGGAATGGGAGATATATATATATATATATATATATATATATATATATACATATATGAGAGAGGTGGGAAGAGATAGACCCAAAAAGGGATAAAACAAACACACACAGAGAGAGAGAGAGAGAGAGAGAGAGAGAGAGAAGGGGGGGATATGGATAAAGAGGGAAGGGAGTGATAGAGCAAGAAAGAAAAAATAGTCCGAAAGTTGAAAAAAAAAAAGAAAAATCTTTAAAGAAAGTTACTTATTCTTTAAATGGAAAATGTTTACCAATCGTACGCCAACGGCCTAGGGGTAAAATCTCCAACTGACGCCAATTCAGCCGGATTTCTATCCTAGCTAGAGGCAACCGGACGTCTAGACACATTGATGAGCTGTGATACAGCGAAACAGTCTGTTTGTGGATGACAATATATATATATATATATATATATATATGTATATATAAAGAGAGACGAGAGAGAGAGAGAGAAGCGTAGCGGATAGCGGCTCGGATTTAAGAATGGGAGAGCCGAATTCGAATTTCAGTTGAGTCCATTACAATACGTGCTAAAACACTTCTCCCTCCAGCTATGGAGACTACAGCTACAGACTGGGTTCTATAGCCTTGGATGGCAACTGGTCTAGGAGAAGGACAACTCTGAATTCAAAATCTGCGGAGGGTCATGTGGGGACCTTGTGGTCTCTGTATTCAGCCCTTCAAAAAGTGTGGTTGGTTCTGCACAAAGCCTTCACCACTATAATCAAATCATATGTTCTGGTGTCTGGGCTGTTGGTTTCCAGGAACTGAGCTGCTATATATATATATACTAGCTAAAAAAACGCCCTATCGAGTGGCAATTAAAGTACATCATGCAGATGGCTCTTGATTGGGCCTCCGGCTTCTTCAGGAGTTTGAGAATCCCTACGTCTTTGCATATTCCCAGCATTGGAAGCTCTCCTGGCTGCCATTTGGCTCTTTTGATTGCAATCAGGTCCTCTGTTGGCGGAGATTTCCTTTTGCGAGGCATACTGCTGCCGTATGCAATAGGCAACGTTAAACTACAGAACACAAAATTGATCGCTACATTTAAGTATTGAATGAATCTTTAAGCTTACCTTTTAAAAGTTCAACGATAATTCTTCTGATGCACTTAATTTAAAGACAATTTGATGTACGTAGATCTTTACTTTCCGTACAAACAATTATTTTATTTCATGTGTGACTTTCGCTGGATTTCGCAATTAATTTCAATTATTGCAAAATTTATTTCCAATTTATAAAAATTGTTATCGCACAAAAAAATACGTCGAAAATTTTATTTTTCTTTCATATATATATTAATCTCGATTATTTTAATTGCTAAATATAATTTTTAAAATTTTTTAATATTTATATATATATATATCAGATTAAAATTAGATATTTGTTAAAATTTATGAAAATTATGTTATGTTGGTGTTTAAGTTATAAATATTTGTTAAAATCTTAACATTTATACATTAATTTATTTCTTTTGTCTAATAATTTGATTTGTTAAATTTTATTATATATAATCTTTCTTCTGGGTATAATTTACATGTTCTATTTACTATGCTTAAGTTAGATTTTATGTCTATTAAAAATCTTATTTTTTTAAAATATGCCTATTATCTGATTTCTTATTTTTTTTCTATTTTTTTCCCATTGATTTTCTTATAATTATTAGTTTATTATCTCTATGTAATTAATTATATCAGATAAATTATATTTAATATATATTTCCAATTTGTTCGCATATAAAAATGTGCCATCATAACTACCCCTTGTTACGTCAAAGTTATTGTCCATGATTTTAACTATATTTTATTGTTGTAGTATAATAGTGATTTTCTGCTATGTTTAATGTTATGTAATTCTGCTTCTTGAATGTTTATGTCTTGTTTAGCTAAATTTAAGACTCATACAGCAATCGCTATCACTTAAAATATTTTTGCCCTTCCTTGCCTTTAAAGGAGTGCCCTTTGCCGTGCTGATGTTGCTATATGCCTTACTTTTGCCTATTTCACACTGTGAATTTTTTCTAAGCTCTATACTAAACATTAAATCTGTTACGAAAAAAGAACTAAACAAAATGAACACAAAACGACCAGCTTTAAAAACGGACTGGTAACTGGAAAAAACCGAATGAAAAAGAATGTTAACAACAAATACTTTTTCACACCCAACCCAGTTCTGTGGAATCAGAATCAACGTTGAGTTTAAGCAAGCGAATAAGCCAATTGGAGTAAAGTGCCATTCAGATTTAAATTTTTCCCACTTACTAATGCAGCTATCGATTTTTTGCATGCTAGTTAACATTCGTGTCAGTCAGCTGTTGGCTCTCATGCTGGCCAATAGAATCTTCCTGCCTATTTGTGGCAGCCAGCTATTGGCTCTCACCCTGGCCAGTACAAAATGGCCGCAAACTACATGAAAAGTGCCGTAGAAGGATGAAAAAATCGATTATTTCCACTGTCGATAGGAGTTGGGAAATGCAAAGTCGGTCTTGGCCTTCGCGATAACTTGGAGCATGTGCATGTAAATTTTGGTGCAAATCCGTCTAAAATTGCGGCCGTGCATTCGTTACACACACGTCCTGCCTTTTTTTTATATATATATATTGATGTATGTTTCATTAAATAATATAGATGAGTTTTGTCTATTTGCTTTATGTAAATTCTTTTCATATAGTCTGATCAGCTTAATAACATTATCATTAAAAGAAGAAAGAAAATCAATATATTCTCAGTGATTAATGGATAAAAGTCTTCAATATCTACTTGTATAAAAGTACATTTTTTGTAATATTGTTGAACAAATTGATAATTTCTTTTGTATTTACTATTGATTTATATTTAATATTTTTTCTTAATCTTGAACTTATTTTTTCTATTATTTGTTTACTAATTTAATAATCTACATGTAGATTTATTTTAATAAATTATCTTTATGATGCTTTTAATAAATGTTTCTACCTTGGCTAACTGTTTTATTCTGTTATCGAATTTTAATTTTGTTTCTATCAGTTTTGCTTCTTTATTTATGTTATATACTGATTCATTGTTCGTGGTTTTAATAAAATTTATGGACATCTTTTTCAATTAGTTTATTATAATTAATAGAATCCATTGTTCTTGATTTATCTGCTTAAATAGTTTATTTGAATTATTAATTTGATGTCGTTAAATAATTGTTTTTGAAATTTATTACTGTTTTTTCTTGTCTCTATTTTATTTATAATATTTATTTAGTCATTTTCAAAAAACAAATATGTTCTTTTTTGTTTGGGTGGACATTTTGCTGACGAAAATCAGAAATTGTTTTTGTTATCAAAGTTACTATCATTGCTAAGAAAGTAAAATACATTCCACCTTAACCTTTTTATAACATTTTCGATTTTTTCAGTAAGTTTAATTTTTTTATTCCTTTACATTTGATGTAGGAATATTTTAATAGTATAGATTCTATAGACTTTTTTTTTAATATAGTGTTTTTCAATAAACATATCCGTAAAGTGCTCAACTTGGAAAAGGTTTTCTGGAGTTTATTGACGAAGATTAAATTTTTAAAATATAATATATATATATATATATATATATATATATATATATATATATATATATATATATATTAAAAAAAACAGACCACTTTTTAAGGTTCCATTATAATACTTTTATTTCACCAGAGCCCCCTTAAAAGACTCTGGATTATCAGATAGCACTTCCAAAAGATGAAACGAAACGAAATGAAATGAAAATTCACACCTTTAATGGGTAGTGTTAGCTTTTGTAATTTAACAGAGGGGGTAATGAGGGGTGGCTTGAGAGACATGGCCGTGTTTAGAGAGGGTTTATTTAATATTTCCCTCAATTATACCTAGCACCGGGGGGAGGAGGGACCAGACCTTGACCCACCCAATCGGCCAACCCAACGGAAGTGATATATTGAAAAGGGAGGGGAGAAGGGAGAAAACGAAAAACAAAAAGAAAGAAGGGGGAAATAAAGAGAAAAAGGCTGTAAATACGTTTCACGTAGGAAGAAGAGGGGTGGTATAGTTTTAGCAATTTATGTAAATAAATAGATTTTAATGTTTGATAGTAATTTAAATATCTAAAAAAATCTACGAAGAAATTAATTTGATTCTTGCTAGCAATTTAAATATTTAACTCTTTTACAAATAATTCAGGGACCCAATATAAGTCAAATACTGTATTTATTAACACATTCATAGAGAACACATTAAAAATTTTTCTTAAAAACATAACAGTTAACCGATAGTAATCTTTTAATATTGCAAAAGACTGTTATATATATATATATATATATATATATATATATATATATATATATTAAAATATTTTATTATAAAAGATTACAATAAAAACATTTTAACATCGCT